CAAAGTAAAGAGCTTTGAAATGTACTTCATACCCATAACTAGCAGCTGGAGTACCCTTTATATTAATAGAACAATAATGTCATTGTTAGCTAATGAATGTTTCCATGGTGACCAACGGCAACATGACAACGTTTCCATTGGTCCCTCTTCTTTAGAGAAGACCAGGAAATGATGGATACACGGATCGTGTTCAAATCAATAGGCACGCAATGACTCTAAATAATAATGATCACCAAACACACATTCAAACTGGGAGAACTGGGAATTGGATGTATTCAAAGCTTTTTTCTTCATTATGGAATTGGTTTGTTGCACATTCGTTTATACTTCCTGTGTCTTCAGGGAAACGCAAAGGTGGACTGCTCCACTTTCAATGGCTCCACATCGCTCCACATCGCTGCAGGACGAGGCTCTCTCAAACTGACCGCTCTGCTGATGGCTGCAGGTAGGACACACACACACACACACACACACACACACACACACACACACACACACACACACACACACACACACACACACACACACACACACACACAGGACATGGATAGCTTAGCTTAGCATTAAAGAGACAGATTTGTGAGCTGTTGTCGCTCTCAAAAAAACCCATAAAGACTTTAAATGCTCTGCTCTGTGCTATAACATAAACACACTGCAGATACATGCATCACACATCACTTTATTCAAAATGCTTCAGTTCTCACTCAATTCTATGTGAAAATACTGCAACCCTGACAGACTAGAACTATCTTCATTATCATTTCCTTATATTTTTTATTGTATGATCTCTTGATCTCGTGTTGTTGTGTAATCATTGTGTAATGTGTGTGTGTGTGTGTGTGTGTGTGTGTGTGTGTGTGTGTGTGTGTGTGTGTGTGTGTGTGTGTGTGTGTGTGTGGTGTGTTGTGTGTGTGTGTGTGTGTGTGTGTGTGTGTGTGTGTGTGTGTGTGTGTGTGTGTGTGTGTGTGTGTGTGTGTGTGTGTGTGTGTGTGTGTGTGTGTGTGTGTGTGTGTGTGTGTGTGTGTGTGTGTGTGTGTGTGTGTGTGTGTGTGTGTGTGTGTTTGCAGGTGTTGGATCTTCTGAACGGTAAAGAGTATGAACCAAAGTCTCCACACAAAGCCTTCGCCGCTCCTCAAGGTGAGTTTAGTCTGTACTTTGATTTTGTTTATGACTCACACACTAATGTACGTTTCTTTAATTAGTCTTTATATTTTGTCGAGAGCAGTTTCAACATACAGCATTAGGAAATGGACTTCATGGAAAAGAAAATACTCACAGCTCCCTGTATTTGCTGTATTAATTCATTCCTGTGTGTGCGCGCGTGTGTGTGTGTGTGTGCGTGTGCGTGCACGTGCAGGTGACCTGGCGAGTCTGGACGTGCAGGTGAAGCAGCAGGTGTGTCGCGCGTTGGAGAGTGAAGGATGCTGGGAAAACCTGGCTCACAGCCTGAGCCTCGGGATCCTCAACACGGCCTTCAGGCTGAGCCCCTCCCCCGCCAAAACCCTGCTGGACAGCTACGAGGTCTCTCACACACACACACACACACACACACACACACACACACACACACACACACACACACACACACACACTGTTTTCATGTGACTGTTTTGTTGTTGTTACAGTGAAAAACAGTAGCAACTCTGTGATTGGTCAACCAACTTAGAGATGTCCCGCCCCTTAGCCTAACACGTACAATGGGTTGGAGCGCTAGCCAATAGGAGCGAGAGTGTTCCGTAGTGATGTCCTGAAAGTAAACAAAGGAGTCCAATCTTGGATGTTTAATAAGATCCGGATCCAGCGTTGGAGGCGGGGCTTGTTCTTTCCTATGAGAGCTGCTCATTGGCTCATGAAGACAAAATGGCCTGAGATTCTCAAGAGTAAAACGTCATAAATTACCCATCAGGCCTTGCTGTCAGAGATTATAGAGCAGAGTTGAGTTTCTCCTTAAGCCCCGCCCCCTGTCATTAAGCCCCACCTCCTGTCATTAAGCCCCGCCCCCGATATCCTGCTCTCGGCTCAGTAGAATGAATGGAGAGAGAAAATAAATCTAGATTCAGCTTTTCGTGCATTTTACGGGAGTTGTAGTACCGCCGTTTGGCCACTAGGAACATTTTCCTCAGAGTCCGGAGCACTTCCTGGGAGCTTGGTCGTGTCAAATCCTGGATCTAATGTACGATAGAGCAGTGGTTCCCAAACTTTTTGTGCCCAAGGCACACCAAAGGACAAGTAAAAATCTCAAGGCACACCTATTGTGCAAAATAGCCCTTATAACACGTGTTATCACTCATATCATGTAAAATATCTGTAAATGTGCATAATTATTTACTAATGCCAAACGAAATATTTCCGAAATTAATTTGAAACTTTATCAAATTAGGCTTCTTATAATCGCTACTTTAATTCGGTCTTTTGGACGTTGTTGTGAGTGTGGACGGAGCAGCTACAGGTTAGTTTAGCTTGATTGATCCATTCAGAAAACACGCATTTTAAAAGGTTTTTCGTCTGCCGTCTTGTCTGCAGACTTGGCAAAGCATTAATTCATGTTTTTTACTAACCGGTATCAGTATGTAGTTACTTCGGCATCATTTTGAAATGTGTATTACAATTAAATCACGGTCAAATCGGTTAATTTTGTCGTAGTTGGTTTCCACCACAGTATTTACATGGAAATAAGCCCCGCCCCCTCTCCAGCGCGTCCTGTTTGAATGACAGGAGTAAAAAAACGCTGACAGCCGCGTGAAACTCCAGCGGTTAGAGCGATGAGAATATTCGCATCACGTCCGTTGTGAACGCAGCATAATGCAGTTCAGAAAACACCGTTCTGACGCTTTTAAAGCAACTTCGAGATGTTAACAGTATCAGGGGCACACAGGCCATGGTGGCCGTAGGACGTACACTTATTTGTGGGGCATAACGGCCAGACCGAGGGGCTACGACAGCCATGGCCGCCGTGAAAATCCTACCCTGGTGGTGGGTTGTCGGCAGTCTCTGCACGGGTGGTTGGTGGTTTGCTCTGTACAAGAAAGCGCTCCATTTTCCCTCTTGCTTGTTTCTCTGTTTTAATGTTGTCCTTCAGCCTTTGATGTGTCACGGTCTTATAATTCCCACCTGTGCAACTGCGTTAACAGCGAAATATGGGGTTCTGTGAGGATTGTTTTTTAAAGAATTGTTTTTAGGTATAGAGTTTGCCTCTGTATTATGAAATGAGTGCATACAAAGTACTGATATAGTAAATTAAAAAATAATTATTTTTGTGTAGTTGTATATTGCAATAATAACGTATGGTTGTCACAAAATCCCACGGCACACCCGGACTTGCCTCACGCCACACCGTTTGGGAACCACTGCGATAGAGGAGCGTGTTCACTTCAGTGATTGTGATGTTTTGTTGAATGTCTGTTCCCCTCTGTAGTGATGTTCTGGAAGTAAACGAAGGAGTCCAGTGAGGATCAATAACGTTGTATCTGATTATGTGTTGTGCTCCTCTGACCTCTGACCTGCAGGTGTCAGGTGGGACTGTGCGGGATCTACTCGCTGGTCTGAGGTCAGTCGGAGAGTGCAGAGCGCTGAGCGTCCTGGAGGAGGCTCTGCGTAACCACGACGACACTCAGCTGACCAATGAGAGCGGAGGTGAGATCACACGATGAGTCAGCATTTTAGATCTTTAATAAATAACACCACAATTATTAAAACAAATATGAAATATAACAATAATGGAATTAATTGAATGAATAATAATAACAATGTGAAAGTATAATATATTCTTTCTCAAAACATATTTTTTTAAACCATTAAGTTATGAATTAAAAATAAATCCTGATTTTTCTGACGCCCCCTGAATACACCGTAGTGATCACATGACTGTGTCTCGTCCTCAGGTGAGGTTCAGGTGCAGGATGTGAAGGCGGAGGTGCAGATCGACAGCGGGGTGTGTGACAGCGGAGTGGAGCTCTCCACAGCCTGAACATCCATCCCATAATCACAAACCAACCACTCATCAGGAAGCTTTTTAACAAACTGTTTTTTAATGAAATGTGTTTTTAAACCTGTTGACAGAAACTCAAGATGTATTGATGGCACTCCAACAACCAAAGAATGTAAAATAAGAAAATATAAGGATTTGAATGAGTTGAGGATATTTAGGATCATGTTCAGGGACAGACGGGGACATCAGACGGAGGGTTTAGTTTCAGGGGAAAGGTGCTATAACTAGAGAGATGATTGTAAAGACATGTGCCCCAAAGCATGGGTTCAATCTGTTTGAATAACTCTCACATGTGGTAATGTGAAGGGATGCTGGTGTGATTCCTCCTCTTCAGACAGGCTGGGGATGATCTGTTTAAAGAGTCCCTATGTCCAGTTTGAGTTCAAATGTTGCGCCCACATTTATGTTGAGATTTTAGGATTATTCCCTTTTTAGATATCACATTTCTTATCCCTGATTATAGTGACCAGGTTCCAACAAGCCACGTGGGGGAAAGAAGACGTGTAGTGCGTTGCTAAGAGCTACTTTAGATTTTAATATAATGTCTATCCAACCCTTCAAATAAATGGTGAATGGACTGTTCTTATAAATCTCTTTATCAGGTGTTCTCGACCTCTCAAAGCTTTACATTACACACACACACACGCACGCACGCACGCACGCACGCACGCACGCACGCACACACACACACACACCCACCCACCCACGCACGCACGCACGCACACACACACACACACACACACACACACACACACACGACGAACGCACTCCCTCTCTGTGAATCTCGTCGTCCAGCGACTACACCTTTAAGTAAACACATGTCTCTGCTGATTGATTGACATCTGAGGCAGCCAATGGGCATCGCCCTCTCTTGTTTTATAAAAAATGTTGGATAAAAGCGGATAAAAGCCACGTTTCAGACGGGCGACTGTCAATCAAATGCAGGATATGGACTATTTGTGGGACACCCTATGCCTGATATGAACTGGAGTGTATCTGTCCGTATGAACAGGAGGAATCATTACAACACGGTTTCACTTATAAACATGTGGAAATGAATATGACTTTAAAACATTGAAATCTGTCTTTTAGGTGTCAAAAAAAAAAGTTTTTGTTTAGTTGTTTTGGCCCATTTATTTTCTGTCTGTTTCACCACTGAACGCTTTGAAATACTTGATTTGCTAAAACATGTTTTTTCATGTCAGTGTGATCCTCTGATAAAATAAGACTATTGCAAGGCATTGTGGGAAAGGAAGTCCAGAGCTGTGAGGAGTTGTAGACTTTTCTCTATTTATATCTTCACCCAGCACTGTACAGTTCAACACAGGCTTTTCATTGGTTGTTATTTTTTAAATAAAGTTGTTTTTTTATATATACACCCTTGTTGAGTCTGTTTATTTAATCCGGATCCGTTTAATGTACTAGTATGATTATTTACAGGACTGTTTTCAAGCCTTTCACTATAAAAAGAAAGTAATTTATTTTATTTAAAGGTCACCTATTATGCAAAATCCACTTCTTCATGTCTCTTCTATCAACATGTCGGTAGCCTTGTGTTCTGTGGAAACAAGATATTCTTAGTTGCTATAATATTAACTTTCACTTCCTTTGACAAATCCCACTTTTATTTGGAAGCTTTCTGTCAAGTTGTACCCAGGGACTCTTCTCTCTTCAATACATATTTGAAAAGCTTACAGCAGCGTATTCATGTTCTGTATAAACTGTAAAGCCCCCTGAGACAAAAGCACAATTTGTGATATTGGGCTAATTAAATAAACTTTGATTTACTTTTACTGATGTATTTGGCGCAAGAAGTACATTTCACTTCAGAGCCCGCAAGAGCATGACATAAATGTGTTACGTTACGTTCTACGCATCCATGACGCAATCACGCAGAGTTACGTTAATGCAGAAGTGGGCGTGGTCTCATCTAAACTGGGTTGGAAAAGAACCGACAGACTCGTCCCGTTATTCCAGAGTCAGTTTAAAGTGAAGGGCTGACGCGAAGCAGAGATAAAGTATCAATACCTGAGTTTACTAAGACAAACAAACGAGATTAAAACAAAGTCAGTATTGAAACCCGGTGTATGTGTTAGCACAGCTTAGCTTAGCCGGCCTACTGAAGCTAACAAGCCTAGATGCTAGTTAGTTAGCATCACCTAGCTTCACCTCCTCCTCCACGACGCAGCAACCATGGCTTTAAAACGGATCACAAAGGTAACAAACTCCTCTTGTTTCCCCCCCATGTGTAACTAAACCCACGGTTTGATGTTTATAGGTTTTATGAGGTGATGTTAGGGCTGTTAGCTCGCAGGTGGCTAGCGGTGTTAGCTCAGCAGCTGCTGCCGATGACACAACAGTTGACATTTAAAAAAAACAACAGTTGACATTTAAACCGTAAGATCTCACACTGACATGGTTTTAATTCACGTGTTGTTTAATGTTTAAACTAACCCTTAAATGGGCAATCACATTTTGGGGAATTAATTGATATTTTCCACATGTTTACGCCTATTGCAGTGTTTTTTCAGGATCAGAACTGGGTTTATTACCAAGTAGCATGACATGTGCTATGGTTTCTGACATTTAATTTCACTTGTCTAAGGTTTACATTAACCCTGAAAATGGGGAATCTCATGTAAACATTTAGGGAAATTAATTTATATGTTCTACATTTCAGAATCAAGTTTATTGCCTAAAACTAAAACACTTGGGACAATGCATATAATATGACAGCAGTGTATTTATTTTAAAGTGGAGGGCTGTGCAGACATTACATGACATGTTACTTGTTAGACGCTTTTATCCAAAGCGACTAACATACTCAGTACTGTGGACAATCCCCACAGGAGCAATTTGGGGTGAAGTGTCTCAGGGACACAACGACATGCTGACTGCAGTGGGGTTTGAACCTGTGCTCCCCTGATCCCAACGCACTAGCCCACTGCGCCACACGCCTCCAGACCATAGACATGTGTATTATATATATTTAATTTGTATCCCATTACACTGTTATTACAGAAGTTATGTAGGTTTACATTTGCTGCAGTTTGTCTGACATGTTTTATTTCCCTTTTTAAATGAACCCTTAACTGGGCAATCTCCTTTAAACATGTTGGGAGATTAATTGATATTTTCTACATTTCAGAATCAAGTTTATTGCATAAAACTAAAGGACCACATTTGCAAATAATGTAAAAAAGAAAATGAGTAGAAAAATAGAAACATCTCAAAATAGACAAAAGAAAATGGACATTTAAAGTTAAATATATACATAATGTGGGAGGAAGACATCAGAAGGCTGTTAGATATATTTAATGTAATCGTTTATTTGGCAGGGACAATGCACATTCATGAACACCCAAAACAAAGAATGCTTCAAGTGTAATAAATATGCTGGATTTTTAGCTTTGAGCTACTTTCCATCCGTAGTCCCTCACATACAACATTTAAAGGTCCCATGTCATGGCCATTTCTACTGATCATATTTCCATTGTTGAGGTCTACTAGAATAGATTTACATTGTTCAATGTTCCAAACTCACATTGGTTTCTCATACAGCATCTCTGTATAGTCTGTAGAGTTCCAGTTAGCCGGTAATTACTAGTGATGGGAATTATGGCTCTTTGAAGGGAGCCAGATCTTATGGCTCCGTTCCTTTCAAAGAGCCGTTCAAAAGAGCCATTTAAAAAAAAAAAAAGGGGGGCGGGGTTACTAGGTTTATCTGCAAAATAATCACCAGGATAATGATTGACTGTATGGCCAGACCTAATGTCAATAATCTGCATTGTAAACATGACACCAGAGCCGCGTTCACACCGCGTACTTTGCAGTACTTAGTGCCCCGGCACTTAATGCCCCAGGGCACTAAGTACCAATCGCGTTTTCGTACTTTTCCCTGAGGGAAGATTACGTAAATGAGCCGCTGACGTCACTTCGTCTTCTTCTGCTTTGGGTTTACTGGCAGGCTGCAAACAACTTCACGGCGTATACTGCCGTCCGAAGTCCCCGGCCGGAAGTCCCCGGAGTTGGGGACTGGCTTCAGTAGAAGGTTCTACTGAAGCCTTCCGAGTAAATCGCCAGAACGCCGACACCTCCTCATCTCCACTGCTCCCATGTTTTCTTTTGTGTTGCCATAAGTTATTCTCTCTCCGTTGGTGCGCGGGGCTAATGCTAATGCTAATAATGCTAATGCCACAAATACAATGGTGGCTTCACAAAACTTTTCAGAGTTTTGTGGGGCGTGGTTTGCAATTCGCCCAGCCAATCAGAACTGGGGTACTTTTTCCCCCCAGGATAGCACCACCTCTCTAGCAGGCACTAAAAATGGGGGTAAAAGTTCCCGGCACTAAGTAGTCTTTTTGGTGTGAACTAGGCATAGGCGGTATCATTTTTTTCATACCGTCATACCTTGCTGAC